TTTTCAAGTGCCTGTAGTTTAAAAACAAAATCATTAAGCCACAGTGGCATTTTGGGGTGGCAGGTCCTGCGTCTCTTCAGAGGCTTGGCCAGTGGATGGGCTGGAGGGAGCGGAGGGTAAGGCTGAGGCAATGGGGCTGGGTCGGGGAGGAGATGTGGCCACGGCCCCGTGGCCGGTCCCGAGCGGGAGGCTGAGCAAACCTTAGGTCTGACCCCAGTTCTGCGGCCAGGGCTTTCAGGTGAAGGGCAGAGGCCTGCGGGGGGGGGGGGGGGGGCGGGGAGGAGGATGGGGGGGGAAGGCTGCAGGAGGAGGCAGATATATCCCAGACCTACTGTGTAAGCACAGCTCACACAGGGAAGAGCTCCCTTCTCTGAGGACCTACTCCGTGCCAACCCCTGAGACTGGCAGCCTGGGTCCTGGGTTATGGCGGCGGGTAGCTGCACTTCCTGTCTCCCTCTCTGATCCCTGGGTCTCTCCCCCGGCCCTTGTCCTCAAGGTGTGGGTTCAGAATGGGCTCTACACCCCGGAGTGGGGTGTCTGAGATCAGCCTTCACAAACAGGGCCCCAGGCCAGGGCCAACATACCCCACCCAGGAATGATGAGGGCGAACCCCGAAACCGTGTCCTCCGGCTGAGTGAAGATTTCCCCTCTGAAGAGCGCCCTCTTCTCGTGAGTACACGTGGAATCCTCTGGCTGTGACGACTAGGTTTTGAAATGTGTCAATTAGAACGGAGTCGTGGCGTGTTTCCCACAGCAGGATCTCTGGGAGCCCCCCCCCCATGCGCTGTCTCTCTGTCTCCAATGTTTCTTTTCCACGCCTGTCCCCACCCCAGCCCCTGTCTAGCTGCCCACCCCACCGCCCAGGGCTCCCACTGACCTTTGTCCCTGCTCAGCCCTCGGGTCACACCCTGGGGGACATGTGTCCCTTGGGAGGGGGGGTGTCCTGTCTCTGGCTGGTGGCACTCCACTCCCTTGAGCAAGACTTTCCTCTCCAACTGCCTCCTGGAGCCAAGGCCAGCGTGGGTGGCTGAAATCTCCTCGGTAACCATAACAGGGTCGGTCCCCTCCCTCCCTCCCTCTCCCGGCCTCCTCCCCCCCAGCCTGGCACCTGCTCGCCAGGCCCCTCGGCCCTTCCCCGTTCCCGGTCCTTCCTGCGCCCCCATTCCTGGTCCCCCCCGCTGGCTTTCCATGTCACCATCTGTGGCACCATCCTTCTCTGTCACAGTCCCTGCCACCCCCTCGTTCTCCTCCTTCCCCCCTCTGTCCCTGCCTCTCCCTGCTGCTCTCCTCTCCTTCCTTCCCTCTCTCCCTCGCCTCTTTCCTCCTCTTTTTCTTTCCCTGACGCGCATTTCTCAAATCTCTCATTACTCCCCCTCATTCTGGCTTTCCACCCACTCTGTCTCCTCTCTCTCTCTCTCTCCCTCCCTCCCTCCCTCCCTCCCTCTCCACCTCTGGCCATCCCTCCCCCCCTTTACCTCATTCTCTATTGGCCTCCTACAGCCCCTTCTCCGTTCTTTGCCTTGAGAGGCCTGCCCTGCCCGTGGACCCCCGTGGTGCCTCTGTCCCTCCCCCCCCCGGCCCCCCGTGTGTCCTAGAGATGGAGGGTGACGCACCCAGCACCCGTGGGAAATCTGACCCAGAGACCAGATGGGGGAGGCTCCGTGGGCAGATGTGGCCACCGAGGGCCTAGAAGGGACCCCAGCCGGCAAGCGTTTGGAAGCGTGGGGTCCCCCAGCTTCTGGTGCTTGGGGGGGGCACCTGGGCACTGGCAGAACTAGGGGAGAGCAGAATGTCACCCGACCCAGCGTGGAGGACGGAGGTCCTCACCCCGTGGGCAGGTAAGGAGGCCTGGGCTCATCTTCTGCCTGGGGTGGACTTGGGGTGGGGGCTGGGCTTGGGGCTGGCAGAAGGTGGGGAGCAAGGAGGGCATCTTTTTCAATGGGCTGCAGGGCTGGGTACGAGGCTGCGGGTCTGGTGCCCGGATTCTAGAGTCTCGGAGGCTGGGAAAAGCACAAATGTCAGAGGTGGGCGAAATCAGATGCCTGGGGGGCCGCTGGGCATCCTCGGCTCATGTGGGCTCCCCGAGGGCCCCCTCTGAGTGGGGGGCAGTGTCCCCCCACCGGCGCTGGCACATGGGCGCTCGGGCCCCCGTGTGAACAGGGGAAAAGGAGCACCAGAGAGAAGCAACTTGGCCGAGGTCACCCAGCGACCTGGTGCGGGTCCTCTGTAGCTGAGCGGGCCTCATCCCAGGCTGAGGGGTCGTTTCTGGGGGAAAGACCCCAGCCCCAGTGGGGGTGAGTCAACCGGTGCTGACGGGTATAATCCAGGCCTCTCTAGAGCAAGGCCAGGGGGCAGGGGGCGGGCATAGACATCCATCAGCGCAGCATCCCCGGCTGCCTTGGCCTAGGGCTTCTTCCAGCCTGAGGCTTTAAGAGAAGCCGGTGGGGTTTCCACAGAGCCGTGTTCAAATTCTGACCTCCCCCTTACCTGCTGGGTGACCTTGGGCAAGTTCCTTACCTTCTCTGAGCCCCCCTTGGTCTCCCTTCTCCTTGGAATCCTGGTGTAAGTCTGAGTCTCCCAACAGAAAACCAAGTTGCCCTTTGTAGCTCTACTTGCTGAAGCACTTTGTTCTGTCAGTCAGTACTCACTGCGTCTGGTGCTATCCTAGGTGCTGAGAACCAGCACTGTGGAGGGGCAGGAGCCTCTGTGTGTGTGTGTGTGTGTGCGTGCGCGTGTGCGTGTGGCATGCCCCCAGGGGCCATTCTTAATTGCGGTGGCTTTGGGGCCGTCGCTCTGTGTCTCTCTTCTCTCCTGAAGAGTCCTCTAGGAGCCCGCCCCCAGCTTTCAGGCGAGCTTGTGCCAAAGATAAACCCAGACAGGGAGGGAGGGAGCCCCCCCCCCCCCCCCCCCGCTTCCAGGGGACGAAACAGATCACGCTCAGGATTCCAGATCCTTAGAGGAAAGACGGCACTTAAACTGCAGCTCTGCCCTACTCCCAGGAAACGCTGCGGGCTCCCAGCCTGCTTAACTCTGCCAGGGAGGATGGCAGCGAGCGAGCGAGTGAGCGTGGGAATCTCGGAGGGGACCCAGGTGTGGGGAGGGGCTGTTTCCACTCACCGCCCACAGGGGCGTCTGGTGGGGCCGTGGGCAGGGCTGGGTGCCAGCCAGCACGCAGGCTGTGGTGCGGGGTGCACACGTGCGTGTGTGCGTGCAGAGGGGACTGGAAAGGTGCTCCTGGGAGCTCCCCCCAGGCTCCCCCCAGGGCATCTGTCCCCGAAGCCTGGCAATTAGTTTTGCTCGGCTGGCTCCCTGCTCCTCCTGCAGCCCATGGCTGTGAGCCGCTGCCCAGCGGGGCTGCTGGAAGGAGGGTCTGGTTTAGCAGTGGGCTCGACAGGTGCATGGGTGGCATGGGGGCCCTGGCTCCCACCTGTCGGCCCTGGAAGCCGGGTCTAAGGCTCTGGATTCTATAGATCCTGGCTCAAGAAATGCCAAGGCCTTGATTCTGAAATTCTGAGATTCAAGGACATTGAGCCTTTGCTCTCTTCACTCAGAATCCATGACCGTGGGGAAGCCTTTAAAGCTGTATTCCTAGGCCTCTAGGATTCTAGGTTTGAGGTTCATGGTCTCGAGAGTCCAAGAGCCGAGGAGCAAGCGTGGCCACTCTGTGTGGCAGCCCCAAGAGGAGTCCCACCACAGCACGGAGGCCGGCCTCCTGCCGGGCCTCCGTTCTTCTAGCCTGAGAATAGAAAGGCCAACCAGCTGAGCAGCCAGTCCCCACTCTGCGCCCACTTGTCTGTGAGGAAGACGGCAGGGCCCGTCCCCCCTGCCCCCGGGGCGCCGTGCCATGGTAGGGGCCAGCTTCTTTCGGAGCTGGCACCGTCGGAGTGAGGGCTGCGGGGCTCCCTGTGCAGATTCCCTGTTTCTGACTGAGGATTGCTGAGCGAGGGCTGGGGGTGGCAGGAGCAGTGGGGACTGAGTGGGGTCGCGTGGGGCAGGCCATCGTGAGGAGGAGGGGGGGTGGGAGGAGCGCCGATGTCCTGGGGGGGGAGGGAGGATGGGGGAAGGCCTGAGGCCACCAGTCCCAGGGGATCTCTGAGCCTGCAGTTGTGCTCAGCGACCCCCACGCCACGCACCTGTGGTTTGTCCGCGCCCTCTGCATGGTCCCGAGTCTGTGCTAGAGTGGGTGGTGGGTGAGCAATGGCCGTAGGGGTCCGGCGTGGGGAAGAGGATTAAAGCCTAGGTCGGGAGCTGCCCCAGGACAGAGGCTGACCCCCCCCCACGCAGGCTTCTGCTCTGCTCGGCAGCCCAATCTGGAGCACCCTCTGTGCGCCCCAAGATGGGGGAGGTGGCTCAGCACCTGTCACGTGCTGCCATTTCCATTACGGCAGCCTTGGGGAGGGGAGAGGGGCTCAGGCGCCCCGTGTCCACAGCCACCCCCCTGGGCAGGCCTTTGTTGGGGCAGGGAGCGGGGGGGGGGGGGGTCGGTTGGTGGGATAGCCAGGTGGAGAGAGCCTCTCAGGGCTCTGGCTTCCAGCCAAGGGGTACCCCGGACCTGTGCTTCTTCTCCATACTTGGAACCAAGAACACAAGGCAAGATCAGTGCTGGGCTAAAAAGGAGGTAAACACAAAAACTTTGACATGGAGTTTTAGGGGTTCGCAAGTTCTTTCAAGTTAGCCTTGGACATATCCAGCCCCCCCCAAGCCAGCCCCCCCTCCCCGCCCCAGAAAGGGTGAGAAATGATGTCTCAGAGGCACCCTGGCCACGTGATGGAGGCTGATCGTTGTCCCCTCGCACAGAACTCAGTTTTCTCCTCCGTGAAATGAGGGCAGCCCCGCCTCACCTTGCTGAGCTGCCTGGAGGACGGGGAGGCACCCCCAGCGCAGAGCTGGTGCGCAGCAGGTCTTCAGGTTCAACGGGAGAGGGCAGCACCCGGCATGACCCGGTTTGTCTTCCTTCCTCTAGGCCAGTAGCTGACTGCTGACCAGCTTTGCCCTTGGCCATGGACAGTCCCAGCTCCCTGTCATCAGAGCCCACGACCTTGGAACCCGGAAACGCCTCCTCTGCCTGGCCCCCGGATGTCTCGGTGGGAAATGTATCCGCGGGCCCCAGCCCGGCTGGGCTGGCTGTCAGCTGCATCCTCATTCCGCTGGTCTACCTGGTGGTGTGCGTGGTTGGTCTGCTAGGCAACTCGCTGGTCATCTACGTGGTCCTGCGGCACACGGCCAGCCCGTCGGTCACCAGCGTCTACATCCTCAACCTGGCGCTGGCAGACGAGCTCTTCATGCTGGGACTGCCCTTCCTGGCTGCCCAGAACGCCCTGTCCTACTGGCCCTTTGGTTCCCTCATGTGCCGCCTGGTTATGGCTGTGGATGGCATCAACCAGTTCACCAGCATCTTCTGCCTCACCGTCATGAGCGTGGACCGCTACCTGGCCGTGGTGCATCCCACGCGATCCGCACGCTGGCGCACGGCCCCCGTGGCCCGCGTGGTCAGCGCGGCCGTGTGGCTGGCCTCTGCGGTGGTGGTGCTGCCCGTGGTGGTGTTCTCGGGTGTGCCCCGGGGCATGAGCACCTGCCACATGCAATGGCCCGAGCCGGCCGCGGCCTGGAGAGCCGGCTTCATCATCTACACGGCCGCTCTGGGCTTCTTCGGGCCGCTGCTGGTCATCTGCCTCTGCTACCTGCTCATCGTGGTGAAGGTGCGCTCGGCCGGGCGCAGGGTGCGGGCGCCCACCTGCCGATGGGTGCAGGCACCCGTGTGCCAGCGGCGGCGGCCGTCCGAGCGCAGGGTCACGCGCATGGTGGTGGCCGTGGTGGCCCTCTTCGTCCTCTGCTGGATGCCCTTCTACGTGCTCAACATCGTCAACGTGGTGTGCCCGCTGCCCGAGGAGCCTGCCTTCTTCGGCCTCTACTTCCTGGTGGTGGCGCTGCCCTATGCCAACAGCTGTGCCAACCCCATCCTCTACGGCTTCCTCTCCTACCGCTTCAAGCAGGGCTTCCGCAGGGTCCTGCTGCGCCCATCCCGCCGGGTGCACAGCCAGGAGCCCACAGCAGGACCTCCGGAGAAGACAGACGAGAAGGAGGAGGAGGATGGGGAGGATGGGGAGGAGGAGGACGACGAGAGTGAGGAGAGGAGAGGGAAGGAGACGAATGGTGGGATCCGCCACGTGGCGCAGCCTGGCACCAGCGGGCAGCAGTGCCCGCCTGGTGCAGCCAGGGAGCACCAGCTTCTACCCCGGGAGCCCCTGGCCGAGGACAAGCCCAGCATCCGGCACACCAGCTATCTCTAGAGGCCTTCCGAGGGCCAGGAGGCCCAGGCGAGGGCGGAGGCTGTGGGGAAGCCCAGGACTCCCCTGACGGAAGTGTCAGAGGCCCACCATGGGAACTTCAGAGGCCTGTGTTCTGACCCAATAGTGCCAAGACTAGCTGTGTGCCCTCTCTGGGCATTTCTTTCTTGAGATGGGAGCAATCATCGTGGATGAGGACAGAAAGTTTGAGAGGGCCTCACTGCCAGGCTGAACTTTCAGAAGAGGGATTGTGGGAGGGAGAGGGGGGTCATTCAGGTAAAGCTTGTATGGGGGGGGGTAGGGGAGGGAAATTGGTCTGTTCCTTAGATCTTGAGAAGCCAGTCTATATCTGGACCCTCAGAAAGATAAACTGAGGCCTGGGCATCTTGGGTTTGGAATAGGGGACATAGGAGACCTGGGGCCACAGCTGGAGCCCCAAATGGAAGAAAGTTGACTTGCTGTGGGGTGGAGGGAGGGCCTAAGCCACTCAGGCCCCAGGCCTAGACCTCCCACTGCACCGTGGGGCCCTGGCCAGCTCCGCTCCTTCCCGCCTCTCTACCTCCCCTGTTGGACAGACATCTCAGTGACCTCCAGGCCCTCGGGGCCCAGATAGCTAGTGCTGGACTCTTCAGAAGGAGGCCAGAAGGTCATTAGGTGAATTTTCAGTAAAATAATTAAGTCCAGCTTCAGGGTCTCTGGCTGCCTCGGCCCTTTCCAGGCCATGCATCTAATTTTGTACTAGTAACTTTCTATTTCTTTTCTTAGTCAGCCTAAGCTCAGGCCACCTGTGGCCCAGCTTGGCCCTTCCTGAGGTCAGGCATCTGATCCCCAAGACAGCTCCCTCCAGGTCCTCCAGGGCTTTCCAGGCCTTGGAAGGCCCCAGACCTCCTCCCTGTCCTTCTCCTTGCAGCTATGACCGGAAGCAGAAGAGATGCTCCCCACGCAGGCAGGGCTGCAGATTGAGGGGAAGGTGAGAAGCAGCCAGTCAGAAGGGACAGTCAGGGAGAAGGAAGGGAAGGAGGAAGAAGGAAAGGAGGGGAGGAAAGATCCGGGTTGTGACTTTGAACAGCCCTTGGCCCCTCTGAGCTGAGCTCAATTGCATCACTCCTGGAATCCGATTGGCTGATGCCCAGTGGGTAGCTGGAAGAAAGGACCAATCAGGGAGAAGCAGTGTTCTGAAAGATCCAGGCCTAGCCCCCAGAGGGCCCCAAGGCACCAGTGAGAAGTGGAGGTAGGTCTGGACAGGGACCCTGGAGGAATGGTGAGCTCCTGGGCCATGCTGTCCTCCTCCATCCTCTGTATCTCCAGGGCCACAGGTCAGGAGGACAGGGATGACAAGAGGCTGGAACTCCTCCACAGGGAGGAGCTGCTGTCACAGCCTGGGCCAGGGGTTCCTCCTAGGAAAAGCAAGGCTGGCCCTGAGGAGGTAGGTATTAGGGCCGAGGCCCAGTCTTCCCCTGCAGTAGGCAGGGATCTCAGGGTCAGGACAGGAGCCAGAAGTTTGGAGGCCTGGACCTTCAGTTTACCTCAGGCCCCTCACTAGCCTGGCCCTCCCTGGGCCTCGGTGTCCCTCACAACACAGGTAATTCCTCAGATCACGGGATTGCAAGCAGAAGCTCTTGGCTCACCCCCACGGGTGAGCCTTCTCTCAGGAAGTGGCCTCTCTGTGTTGGCTGTGGAGGATACTGCAGGTCATGAGAAATGGGGAGCTAGGTGGTGGTCAGAGGCCAAATGTCAAGGAGGCAGGGAGGGGGTGAGTGTAAACCCCCGAAAGAGGAAGATGTGCATAAATTCAGGCCTAGACTGGAGGCTCAGCCCTGGGGCTTGGCCTGGGGTTTCCCCCCGGAGGATCTGAGGGTTAGAAGGAAAGGCACCCCATGATCTTGCAGCTCTTTCTGGCTAGCCCTTCCTTTTTTTAGCCTTGGGGCACCCAAGTGGGATTTTGCAAAGGGGCCTGATGGGCTGGTGGGGACATCCTTTGCTACTTCTGCCCCTAGCTCTTATCCATAAAGATGGTGACCTACAATGACAGCTGTGACCTGGGCCATTTCCTGCTGTGCCGTACCCTGTGTGTCAGATGTGTGTGTGTGTGTGTGTGTGAGATGTGTGTGTGTGTGTGTGTGTGTCAGATGTGTGTGTGTGTGTGTGTGAGATGTGTGTGTGTGTGTGTGAGATGTGTGTGTGTGTGTCAGATGTGTGTGTGTGTGTGTGTGTGTGTGTGTGTGGTGTGAAGATGCAGTTACTGTGGACTCTGGCTTCCCAGAGTGCAGATCAGATGTGGAAGAGAACTTGGAGGTCTGTATCCACATCCTCACAGATCTCCATTCAATAGGCTTTCTATTATCCAAATATCAAATCTCACAGAGGAAAACTGATTGGCTCCAGCAGAATCACATGATGCTACTTAGGCCAATCACCAAAGACAAGGTGATAGGCTGCCTTAATTGGTCAGATATGAGTCATGTGTCTAACCTTCCAGCTAAAGAGAAGGGAAGGCACCGATTGACCTGGCCAATGGGATAGGAGGTGAGACAGGAACAGCCAGTCGGTGTCTGGGGAAGGCAGAGCAGGCGGCAGCTGCAGTATGCACTGGGTTCACTGCATGGATGCTTTTGCTGGCCTACACACCTTTGGGTGTGTATTTGAGAAGGTTTAAACACACACAGTGCAGGGCACACAGTAGGTGCTCAGGTCATGTAAATATGCTAGGGCATTACATGTGGCTGGGGGGTGAGAACAGAGGCTCTCCTGGGCCTGGCAGTGGCCTCCTAGGCTGTATATCCCTTCTCTGGTTCTCACAGACTGTACTTTGTCACTCTGGGTGTCACTTGCTTATGCCAGCAACATAAATGCATGGTGTGTGTTGGTGATTCTCCTCCAGGGCTGAGACTATGCCAGATGAACACAATTGCATTTTTCAGGGCCTCCTGCAGGGGAGTCATTGGGCTTCCCAGCTCCAGGGCTTCCATTCGCAGTGGGACTAGCCTCCAAGCCTAAGCCAGGAAGGAGAGGTGATGAACCACCCTGCCTATCTTCCCCAGTCATCAAGTTACTCAGATTCAAAGCCTCACCTTGAACTTGTGTCTCAGAAGCAGCTACCAAGCAACAGCCCATGGCCAGTAGACTGCAGACCAAAGCAGAGAAAGGAGTCCCCAAGGCCTGGGGCCGGGGAGGTCAAGGCTCCAGATCTCTAGGAGTGATGATGGAAGCCACTGAGTAACAGGGAGACTGAACTTTTCAGCACTCCACTCACAGGAGAAAACTCTCAAGGCAGTGAGAGTCCCGGGTTGTCCTGAGATTGTGCAAGGTGGTGGTCCTGCCAAGGCCCTGGGGGCTCCACCTGCCGCGGAAGCCCTGGTGAGGGTCTTGGGGAGTCTGGTGGAGACCTTGGGGAAAATGTGTCCCCTATAAAAAGTCATGAGACCTCTGGGCACCGGTGGCTCACACCTGTAATCCTAACTTCTCAGGAGGCTGAGAAATGAGGATGTGGTCTGAAGCCAGCCAGGGCTGGAAAGCCTGAGAGACTCATCTTCAAATAACTATCACAAAGCCAAAACTCAGGTTAGAGGCATGGCTCAGGTGGTAGGATGTCTGCCAATGAGCACTAGACATCAGATGCCCAGTCCTAGTCTCCCACACACAAAAGCCAAAAGTGGAGCTGTGACTCAAAGGATGGAGCATCAGCCTTTGGCAAAAGAGCTCAGGAACGCTAGAACTGACACACACACACACACAAAGGCCAGACTTCCCACGGCTCTTTTAACATCTGCACAGTCCCTAAGCTCTTTACAAGTATGAACGCTCTGAGATCTCCCAACTATGGGAACTTTTTTTGTTTGGTTTTTTGGGTCCGGTTGTGGGGCCTGAACTCTGGGCCTGGGCGCTGTCCCTCAACTCTTCAGCTCAAGGCTAGTGCTCTACCACTTGAGCCATAGCACCACTCCCAGCTTTTTTCTTTTTGCTTATGTGGTGCTGAGGAATAGAACCCAGGGCCTCATGCATGCAAGGCAAGCGCTCTACCACTGAGCCACCTTCCCAGCCCCAACTATGGGAACTCTTGCTGCTAGAGGCTCGTGAGGAGTGGTCAAAGCCCTGCTCACTGCTCTCAGCACAGCCACGGAAGAACTTCTGGGTTCCGACAGCAGTTCTGTGGATGGCAGTGAGGCCTGGGATGGTTGTCCTGTGTCACCAGGCCAACACCAGCAGCAGGAGGAGCAAGAACACTGTTTCCCAGTCCTAGACTGGGACCAGATGTGTGTGTGTGTGTGTGTGTGTGTGTGCGCGCGCGCGCGTGCGCGCTTCCTTTCTGTGTATGTGTACCAGTACTGGGGCTTGAACTCAGGACATGGGTACTACCCTTTAGCTTTCTCACTCATGTTGGTGCTCTGTCACTTGGCCTACAGCTCCACTTCTGGCATTTAAATGGTTAATTGGAATAAGAGTCTCCGGGGCTTTCCTGCTTGGGCTGGCTTCACTTTCTTAACAGCTTCAGTCAATGTTCTCCAGGGTTCCAGACAACTTAGTTAGGTTCCAGTTTATATTCCACCAGCTCATCTCCTCTGTCATTGTGTTGACACAGGTGGGTAAACTGAGGGATGAGAAGTGGCTGTTCCAGAGCTCTTCCCTGCTTTCTGAAACGTGTCAGTCCTGGCTCATGGTGGGCCCTGCCGCATCACAGGTCCTGAGCTGGCTTGGCTGGGCCATCTGTCAGACCCAGGTCATCTCTCCTGCCACCTGTGTATGAGGACCAGGATGGACGGCTCTATCCTGGGGAGAAGTTAGCAGACCCAACCCAGTAACGCAGAGCTGCAGAAGCAGATGGGCCCTTGGCCTCCATCAGGCCCACCCTAATTCCACTGCTTCTTAGCTCTGAGTGCTTTGAACCCAGCTCTAGCCATCCAGAGCCTGTTTCCTCGTCAGTAGATGGTGGACTTAGGACCTCTAATGGTGGACTTAGGACCTCTGGAGAGCGAGACCATCCATCGAGGCACAGCGAAAGGTGA